GTGATGTCTGTGAGCCACAGGGAGAACGTGAAACCACATGGATGAAAGTGAAGCAGCCAACATGGCCGACAAAAAGCAGCAGATTCAGAGCAGAGAGACGTTCTCCATCCAATCACATTGTAATGTCCTCCAGTATATAAGCTGAGCCTCAGGTAGCTTTGCAGCCTTACCTGTGTGCAGTCAGGACATTTCAGAGCCCGGACATTTCACTTTTTAATGGAGTGAAGAAAATGAATCACTTCCTCTACATTTACCCGTCTCTTTTTTCTAAACAAGTATCTGTACTTCTGCTTGATAAAGATCGTGTGTGTACTCTGCTGCCACGTTTTGGTTCTTCCGTTATTAAAAGTGGTTCACATGTTGTGTTCAACACTCTTGCTTTCTCATTTTTTTTAAACTGAAAATGTAATACAGTTGTACAGAACCAAAATCACAATACAGGTTAAAGTTTGTCACTGTCCAAGTATTCATAGAGCCGACTATGACTAGTTAGTGTAAACGCATGAAGCATTTGTTACCTACTTTAAGTTTTCTTGGCTTTTTCAATTGAATCAACAAATGTATTTTTTGTGCAGAATGTAACCCTGCAGCTGCTCAGTGGAACAGACAGACCGTCACAGAAACCGATTAAGAGTGAAGAGGAAGCAGAGAAGGAGGAAGAAAGTGAAGATGTGAGACAAAGAGAGGAGACTTGTCAGCAGCACGTCCATGTGAATGGAGGGAGAGAAGAGAAGGAGGAGGAAGACGAGCATGAGGATGATTCTAACAGAGTGGGCGAGACTGTGAAGGATCAGGAAGTATCAACAGAGAAGCAGGCAGAGGCAGCAAGTGAGTCAAAGACACAGGCAGAGACTTTAGAGAAAACTGATCCCAACCCAGCTTCAGCCGCTGAACCCAAACAACCAGAGACACCAGCAGCTGAGGCTGCAGCAGAGTCTACAGTACAAGAGGAGCAGGTGGAGCTCTCTTTTCCAGAAACCTCTACAGAGGAAAAAGACACCAACAGGTCTGCAGAGTCACAAGATGAACCTGAAGAGAGACCTCCACCTGCAGACCGACAGGAAAGTGTGTCAGAAGTAAAAGCTGCAGCGAGCAGCGAGATGAAGCAGGAGTGTGTGGAGGACAGAGAGCACGAAGGAGAAATACAAGCTGACTCTCAGAAAGCTTTTTCACCCCCGGTTAACCCCCCTCCACCCCGAACGCCCTTCAAAAGAGCTCAGGAGAAGACGTGAGGTGAGTCCTGCAGCTGTCAGTAAAACCTCCAAAATGTTCAAGCCCCCAGCCTCCAGTGATTCCAGTGAATCACCGGTGTGATGGAGGTGATGCAGACTAACACTCTGCAGGGAGGTAACCTTTCAACTACAGGAGATTTATTTATAGATTATTAAAGGGCAAGCATCTGGTCTAAAGAAGACTATATCTGTGAAAGAATAAGAAAGTAAAAAGGAAATATTCCAGTGTATATATTTAAAAAAGATACAAAAAGGAGGAAACATGATAACATAGGGAAAGTATTTTCATTTATTTTTCAACTTTATTTGTCCAATTCTTTCTATTTTAAATGATATTAGGGCTGTCAAATTATAAATAAATAAAAAATCTGGATCAATTGCTGAACATCAGTTGTTAATTGCAATCGATCACATTTTTTATCACACGTTAAAAATTGAATTATTTTGCATTTCAAATCTGTTTTTAAGTCCATATGCACGATGTAAAGCAGTTCTTACCAGTGTCTTGATTTTGCAATTAAATATTTGTAAATAAATGTACTTTATGACCTTGACTTTTAGATTTATTTTGTAAATAAATGCTGCATTGCTACAGCAGTGTGGTGTGACATCATGACTTCTTGTACAAAGTCTAACACTGTTATAAGAAGTGTGCATGTAAATGGACTTGAGCTTGTTTAGTACTACTCTTCTTTTACACTGCAGGCCACACCTACATTTGAATGTATTTGTTTAATAGGGACGATGCAGTTTAACATATTTTCAATACAGAGCATGTAACTGATGTGCTGCACACAGAGTTTATACTATTGCTTATTTACAACTCTTGTCCCTAGTTGGCCTTCAGGTAAATAAAAATGTAAAATGTACAACATTCAATCGAATAAAACCACATCACACTATTATGAGGAAACATTAAAATACATATACAACAATATGACAATAGAAAATCCTAAAAAACAATTAAACTGACAGATTTAAGATATTCTATCCACACACTGATGGCAGAGGCTGCTCTGTGAAGTGTCCATCAGATTTAAATATCCATTCATCCACATTTACATGCCGTGAACAAAGCAGCAAAGCAACTTGGGGTTAAGAGTCTTGCCTAAGGAGGACACTGCGGACATGTGGCTGCAGGAGCTGGAGATCGAACCTCCAACCTTCTGGTTGAGAGATGACCGACTCTACCAACTGAGTCACAGCCAACCCAAGTACGAAATGAGTCACTGAAGTCCTACTGTATCATCCCCGGTTAATGGGACAGCATTTGCACTTTTCAGGATGTCCAGTTTAGTTGCTTTCTCTGTGTCAGTACTGTGAAGCAGTCATAGAGTCAAATAAACCAGCACAGTGGTGTCGTTATTTTTTTTTTACTGCGGGAGCAGGATGATGCTTCAGTGACTTAAAGATGGTTCCCCTGAAGGGACAAAATAGAACATCATTGATGGAATTACAAAGAAATGACCACGTTCATTTTGGACTTTAATTGCGTCTCTTGTAGTGTGTAGATTCAGCCACCAGGGGGCTCTCAATTAATCCAACAATAACAAAAGATAACGTTGATGCTGGCGGGGAATTATGGGAGTTCTCTCTCCTAGTGTCTGTCATGGCGGCCACCTCAACAAGACACGTCCCGTTACAACCATAAACTTACATTGTAATACAATTCTACATATTGTACGTTTAAATCTATAAAATGAAATATATTCATATCTTCAAACACGTAAATAGAGATATACTGTACATGTGAGCGGGGGAGAGTCTGACAACATGTGCCAGTATTACTAACATGTTTATTTCATGTAATGTGACCACAGATGTAACATATTTGTGCCGCCGTCTCTAAAAATGAATGCATGATTCCCTTCAAACTAACCACCTCTATGAACTGCTGTTTCCTGCTGCTTTCTGCCTCTTCTTCCTCTTCTCCCCTGCCCCCTGTCCCGCCCACCCCTCTGCCCCCGACTCTTTTATTTCTGCTATTCTCTCAGTCTGACTGGGGAATGGGTGAGGAAAATGGAGAGGAGCCATTTTTCCAGAACACAAATCCTGCCAAACCCCCCGCAGCTCCCAGTGAGGAGGAAGAGGAGGATGAGATGGTGAGAACGGATCTGTAGGGTGAAAGCTCTGAGGTTTAGTCCAGCACTCTGCATCCCTTCCCCTTGTGTTTTGTTTCAGTGTTGAGTCTGTCTTTTTGCTAAATATTCAGTAAAAAATAATGTGTCGGCTAAATCTCTAAATGAAAGTTAAAAGGACACATTCATGTTATTTCTCTGCTGTCCCTCCAGAGTCTGAAGGGCCGCCCACCCCCCGCCCCTCTGTTTGGTGATGATGAGGAGGAGGATGATGATCTAGACTGGCTGAACTGAGCTGTATCCAGGATAAAATCAAAGTCTGCGTCTTCATTTCCAGCATATATAAAAAGGCGCATGGTTCCTTCTGCAGCTGTGTCTGCCCTGTGGGAGCAGTGAAGATGACAGGGGCGGCCTCTGCGGCTGGATCTGATTGGACGGAGCGGATCTGAGCGCCCTCCTCTTCGTCTAAGAGTCGTCCTGCTGACTGACAGCTGCTGTCTGTTGAGAACAAAGCTGCTGCTCCAGACTCTGATTGTGGTTCAAATCCCAAGCCTGTAATTCACAGAAGAATCAAAACCACTTCATTTCATTTGTCATGTGTTGATGATGCAGTTTAATTCATGTTTCTACATGGCACTGTAGCAGATTAGTTTGTCCAATCAGCAGTAATCCTGTCGTCTGTTTTCTTTTCTTTTTTAGACTGTATACCATGAAATGGTTTTGATTATTAGCTCGCTGCTTTAGAAATAGAACTTTTAATAAAGTCTTTGCTAACCTGAAATTCATTCCAGAAAAATAAAGGAGGTGAAAATGTGTCTCTATCTCTGTGAGTGGTTGAATCTGTTTGTCTGAAGTGAGTGATCATTCAGTTTTATATCAGATGTTTTTAGAAACAAAGAAGCTTCTCAAGCATTAAATGTCTTTACATTGAATTTGAATGTTTTGTCTGTTTTTAAGTGTCAAAGTGCATTTGTTTTATCTCCCAATGTAAACATCAGTAAATAACATTTTGTTAATGTTTAGTTTTTAAATGTCAAAACAACAGAGCCATTCAAGAGACTTTTACTTTGATCATTAACAATGAAAAGCATTCAAACTTCACCTGTAAGAAGCAGGAAATAAAGCAGGTGTTCAGTTTTATTTCATCATTTTTAAGTTTATTTTTTCTTACTGCTCTAAATGGGCCTCCACACAAACAAACTGCCTCTCATACTAGTTTCACATTTTCTCCATCAGCTTTGTTTGACATCCTGCAATGAAGACAAGAAGAAAACACTTTGTTCCTGTTTGTTTATTCAGGATGTAAAACACCAGCTTGTTCAAACATCAGATCAATAAACTCTGTTCAATCAATCCATCCATTAACTTTTGATTTAAGACTGCTTGATCAGAATCTCAGCTATGAAAAAGAAAATAATAACAATCTCATTGATTTCATACTTCAGAGTACATTTTTAATCAATTTAACTTTAAACAACAAAATTCATTCTGCAGAAAGAAATCATTCTATAAATTTAATTTGAGATGTTTCTAAATAAAATGTACAAAGTGGTGAAAACAATATCTACATGAAAGAAAAGGCCTGGTGCTTTCTCTCTTAAGACCCTTTAATTAGAACAAAAACAATCAGTACTCATTGTAAACACATTTAAAGTGAAGAAAAGTTGAAATGTTCATGCAGAGAAAACGTCAGTTCAGCTGAACAAAAATCCTCATGAGCAGTAAAGCCTCTGTGACTAAACAGAAACAGCTAAAGAGAGTTATTTAAAGAGACTCAAACATTTACAGAACAAGTGAGAAGATGTCAAAGTACCGCCCATAAAGTTTGATTGACAGGTGAACAATGTAACCACAATCAGCTCTCAGCAACAAACATGAATAATGATCAAGTTGAAGGATTAAAGTTTAACCCACTGTTCCTTTAAATGACTTCTGTCTATTTCAGTTTACACAACTCAGCACTAGATCCAGAATAAATAAAAAGTCCAGCATGTAGAGGCTGAGTGAATGTGGTCTGGACTCTGTGGAGGAGAGTCATGGTTTCAGAGATGCTGTAGAAGGACAGAATACCTGCTCTGTGATCCAGGTACACTCCTACTCTGGAGGACTGAGGACCTGAGACAGGAGTGTGGACATTGTTGTACCAAAAGATATAACTGTTGTTGTAACAATCTAACGCCCAAGATTTGTCATTGCCTCCAAATCCACATTCTTTCCAGCCTCCTGTTCTGCTGATATTCTTGTATGCGACTGCTACAAAAACTCTTCCTCCTCTCTCCAGTTCCCAGTAACAACGACCAGTCAGACTCTCTGGACTCAGGACCTGATACAATACAGTGAATCTGTCTGGGTGACTAGAATAAGACTGTTGTTGACCCGTGTTTGTTACTTTTCTGTTTCCATCAGATAATAACAGCTGTGTGTTTGCTGTGTTTGGATCCAGTGTGATGTCACATGAATATTGTAAGAAGTCAGCTCTGGTCTTGGCTCTGGTTGTGACAGTAAAACATCCACTTCAGTCACTCTCTGTGAGATGTTTGTCCATTTCTCTCTCAGGACGTCCTCTAGTTTATCTCTGACTTCTGACACAGCTGCTGTCACATCCTCAAAGTACCTCAGAGGACGGATATTGATGCTGGATGAGTGTTTAGATTCACAGAGTGGTGACAGTGAGGGGTAGTCGTGTAGAAACTGGTTGTGGTCCTGTGTGTGTGAGAGCTTCTCCAGTTCAGCGTCTCTCCTCTTCAGCTCAGTGATCTCCTGCTCCAGCTTCTCCTGAAGCTCTCTGACTCGACTCACTTCAGTTTGCTGCTGAGATCTGACCTGCTGCTTCACATCAGAGCGTCTTTTCTCCATGAGACGAATCATCTCTGTGAAGATCTTCTCACTGCCCTCCACTGCTTTATCAGCGGAGCCATTGATATCCTCCACCTCCTGTTGAAGCAGCTTCACATCTTTCTCTCTGTCCTGGATTCTCTGCTGGATGTTTTGTCGACTCACCTCCAGCTCTCTCTGCTTCTCGGTCCTCTCTGCTGCAGCTGAGACTGTGTCGTGGCCTTTATGTTCATCCACAGAGCAGAGATAACAGATAGACTGCTGATCAGTACGACAGAACATCTTCATCACCTCATCATGACGAGAGCAGACATTCTCCTGGAGCTTCTTGGAGGGCTCCACCAGCTTGTGTTTCTTCCATGAAGCCACTTCAAAATGAGGCTGCAGGTGTTTCTCACAGAAAGAAGCCAGACATTGTAGGCAGGACTTACAGGCTTTCAGTTTTCTCTCGGTGCAGACATCACAGGCCACATCTTCAGGTCCAGCATAGCAGTGATCAGCAGGAGCAGCTTGGAGTCCAGTCTTCTTCAGCTCCTCCACTAAAACTGCTAACATGGTGTTTTTCACCAGGACAGGCCTCACTGGGAAGGTCTGCCTACACTGAGGGCAGCTGTAGATTTTCTTCTCCTCCTCTTTATCCCAGTGGGTTTTAATACACTTCATACAGTAGCTGTGTCCACAGGGAACAGTCACCGGATCCTTCAGTGGATCCAGACAGATCGAACAAGAGAAGGTTTCCCGGTCCAGCTGAACTCCTTTCTGCGCCATTTCTCCTCTCATTGACAACGACTGTCTGACTTTCACTTCCTGAGAACTGAAACTATTTCACCACTGATCTACAAAACATGTGTTTGTGCTTCAGCTGGTGTTGCTCACACCCATCTGCAAACTGTAGATCTAAAGGGGAGGGAACAAGGAAATACTGGGTCAGAGTGGAGCTGGCTGTGTTTGAGAGTAGGCAGGAGAGGGAGGGGTTATCAAGCTCTTTGAACCAGGAAGAGGAGCAGCACTGTGAATCTTTAACTTTGGTTCCTGCACATTTAATGGTCTTGTTTTCCTTCTTCTTATTGCAGGACATCAATTAAAAAAGTAGCTTGGCATGCGTTCTTGTTAAACTGTCAGTAGCAGTAGTCATAAAGTCATTTTTTATGATGAGAGGAAATGTTTTTAGACATCACTTTGGTTAGAGCATCAGAGTGGTGCATTTAAATCTTTCCTCTGAAAAGTAAAGCTGGTTTATTTCAAACCATCTACTATATATTTGAAGTGTAGAGTGTTCAGCACAGATTAAATTAATGAAAACATTTTCCTCTTTCTCTGCAGAAAAAAACCTCTCCTCCTTAGACATGTCTGCTCATCTGGAAACAGGAAAACAAGACGATCAAGTCGGAACATGTTCATGAGGGATGATCGTGACTCAAACACAAATCTGTAGTCACTGGTGTGTAAACATGCAGCAACCAAGTATTCAAGGAAGTTAATAAATGTTACAATAGATTTCTTGCTCTGACTCATTTTTGAGTTCAGAATAAACAGTACAGGTGACAGCACACACCCTTGTGGAGAAGCAGTAGAAGTGCACTTTAGGTCAGACAGGGTCCCATTTACCCAGACTCTCTGTGTCCTACTGGTAAGAAGAGGAGAATCCAGCCCACCAGATTTTTACTCAAGGCAAACTGTTCAAAACGCCTCCTGGTTAAGATATGAGGCATTCATGCACGGCCTGCTCCGACCTCTCCCTCAACGACAGCAAAGTGTGGACAACAGGAACATGAGGAATACAAAGTAGAAATCCTGCCTCCATATTATCCCATCTCCCCCTATCCCATTTTACTTCTGTAACACAACAACGAGTAAGGTCTCTACCTGCTCCTTTGTAAATTGTCTTGAGATAACAATTGTTATGAATTGGGACAAATAGAGATTGAAGACAAGACTGTCGTCACTGTAGCTAGTTGTACAAAGGGCAGGTTTACACATTCTTCTTCCTCCTGCTTTTTTATAGACTGCCCCATTAACAAAATGGCCGCACCTGGGTTAAGCACAACTCACATCGGGAGTTTCACTTTTCTCTTACCGCAAAGAAATACAAATAAACCCTTATCTTTAACATCAGATCATATACTCAACTAAATGAACTTCAAATACTTCAATTATATTTGACCTGTAACTTACATAAGAAAGAAATAATAAGACAGAAAACATTTCTCAGAAAACAAAACCCTTTCAGATGGTCTGCTCCAGTGATGTCAGCGATGACATCATCAACCCTATAAATACCCAGGAAGTGCTGAACCATCCCCTTTAACTGCATGGGAGCACATGGAGAACTGGACAACAGAACAAACAAAAGTAAGTATGGATAACAGACAAACAATGATATATTACAACTCCAGAAACTAAATAAAAATGACTGAACTGAATCAAGACTGTGTGTTTGCTTTAAGTTGATTTATACTTTGATGTGACCTGTAACTTAATGCTAACACAAACAAACCCAGGATAGTAAGTGCTGCAATGTTACACAAGCAAACAAATACATCATTGCAAAATACACAACTGTAAAGAATAACATGATTTGATATTAAAAGAAGATTTAGGTGGAGAATAACAAAAGAGCATCTCACCCACTTTGTCACACTTTATTCAAAGGTCCAATCTGTAAGATATTTACTGAATGTAATGATAAAGTAATCTTACTATATGATCAGACATTAAGGAAACATGCTATGTTGAAGTGATGTCTCCTCTGACAACCAAACAGCAGCCAGTATGTCCTCCATCTAACTTTAGATTCTGGTCCTTAATGCTCTGGATTGGTTTGGACCAGAGAAGATAGAATCAACAGGTGTTGTAGTGATGGAAGCAGCAAGAGAAGTGGTTCAGATAGAAGTGATTGTACCCGACCTAAAAAGCCTCTGCATGTTTCTAATAAGCTCCACGAGCAGAAACGTGCTCAAACTAGGATCAATGTTGGAGATGCTTT